CACCGGCTCTTCTGTCAAAAGCACTTTCCGGCACCCGCGGTTATGCTCGCGTTTTCTGTCAGCGCGTTTCTGTGGGAATGCTTCCCCCGCCCCCCTCCCCGAGTTGGCAGGAAAACTTTCCAGTAAAAATGAAGTCAAAGGCAATTCCCATACTGTAGCATCTTCATTAAAGAAAGCTACGTGCGCTAACGAAAATAATTGTTTGCCAAAGGGCAGACTCAAGGCTAGCTTGTACCCAAATTCTGTAGTTTCCCCCAGTGTTAAAACTTTATAGCTGCTGTCTGAAGCTTCTGTAAGAAAAGACCTCAGATGACCTGTATGCAGTTTACTGTAACTTTATAATGCATTACATTCCTAGAAGTGGTATTCAAATTATTCTAATGTCTTTTTCTTTCTCTTCTAGGTGTTTGTTTCAGGATGGTAAGGCAATGTCTGATTTACCAGTTCTACTTTACAGTGTAGTATTTCCAGTGCTAAAAATACTACAGCAGGTCTGTAGAGTATAAACATATCCAACTGCTGTTTTGAGTTCTAGGTTAGATGGTTAAGTATTGCAAGTGGATTTAAAAGGAAAACAAATATTTGTTTTACATTACTGTTATATTAAATGGATTTTTAAAAGCTTACTAATGTGTTGCTTATTTGTGTAGTATCTAAAGATTGTGTTTGGATTGCTTGTGATAAAACAGCCACAAGAGCATTATAACATTTTAATCCATAGAAAGGTTAAATCTGAAGTTATTGATATTGGCTTCTTGAAACAATGTGTTCCAGTTTAATTTTTTAATGGTAATTATAGTACCTGTATTTAAGGAAGCTTACTGTATTTCCTTGTAACAATGTGTTACGAGCATGCAGGCTGTGGCTCATATCCCAGCCAAGTGTCTCCACCAGCTCTGAACATGCAGCAGGTAGTTTTTCATTTCACAGAAACCCAAGAAACAAGAGGACACAATTCAAATAAGAGTTCTTTGCTTGAAAATAGTGGACTGTGCTTAATATTAGACCTGAAAGTGTTTATACATAGTTTATATGTATTGTGAAATAGTGCAAAATTGAAATGGTTAGAGGATTACAATATAGTATGTCTTGAATGTAACTATTCTATCAAGTGGAAAGCGTGTGTCCACACATTATGTGGTGGGCAGGTGCAAGCTTGCTCCACCTGGTTTTGAGCTGACCTGGAGCCGTGTAAACACATACCACACAGTGCCAGTCCTGAGCTGATAAGCAATGTTGAGAAGTGGATTGTCAGCTTCATTCCCATGCTTTTGGACAAGTTAGTATGGAGAAGTGGCTCATAATCACCTTGAAAAATACTCTTCATAGTTAGCAACACCTTTTCATCGCCTGGATTACCCCAAAATTAGTTTCATCTTTTGGAATGTAGTCATATTGACCTGAGGTTTGGCTGTTGGCATTAGAATAAGTCTTTAAAGAGACTAATAATGCAGTGTGCTCATTTAGTATCTCTGTATTCTTTTGGGTATTACTGCATATGCTCTAAAATGTTTGGTGGCTGTTCTCATCAAAATGTATTGAAAACTCTCAGTCTTACTGTTAGAGCCTTCAGTCTATTGATGTTCTGTACTAGAAGATTAAAAACGTGGGCTACATGGTCTTACACCTCTTTACTAAATGTGTAAGAAGCAAAACAGAGGAGGTACTTTTGATGTAAATGAATTTGCTGTTAATGAAATGAAGTACTGTGTGTTGGCTAATAGTGTTTTTATTATCCTACATGGAACAAAAATTTAATGGATTTCTGCAGAGCAGGCTTTCTGTTCCTCACCATTTTGGTGTTCAGATTGCAAAACCCATACATATATTTCATATGTACATGAAAGAAAATGAGAAAGTTTCACAAAAAATATCAAAAAACAACGTCCTTGGAAATTCCTGATTTCATCACAAGAAGTGAATAATTGGGAAGCTGTAATTTGTTGTGGTATTGTAAAAGTATTAGAAAAGCAGTATAATTAGTTTGTCCTTTGCTATTTTTTTGTAGTAATGTGGGAGCTGAAGGTAGAATTTAAGGAGTGAAAGTCAGATGGAAAGGATTTAAAATCAAACTGGAGAAAAGGAACTATGAAGTTTGTACATGTGGCAAATTTAATGAGTTTAGACTGTGATTGTTGAAGAGGCAAATAAGCAGTGATAGGAGCTATGGAAAGGAACAGAGGAGGTACAAAGTGGTGTGGGATTAATAGAGTCCTTTGTGATCAAAATTGTGTTAAAAGTCCCTGAAATAAAGGGAGCAAGTATTTGGCTTCCCTGTGAGTGGGCAAAAAGCCTCACACCGTCAGAAGGTTTCTATGCCTGTACCTACGATAAAGCAAAGAGGAAGATGACTTCTATTATGAGCAATGTAGTGTCTCAGTGGGAGCCATTATATCTATAGGTTTTGAAGAGAAGTATTAAAAGCTGAGAAAATGGAAGTGGGAATTCATTCGTGTTTATTACGTATATGTAGGATCTCATTCTTGTTCAAAAGTTGGCTGCTTCTGCTGCAACTTCAGAGCTGACAGGACTATCTCAGTGCCTGAGTATGAGCATCTATAGATTTTTTTTTCTTAAAATGAAAGTGGGTTTTTAAGTGGTATACATGTGGTGTATGTGCTGACATTGATTATCCTCTTTCATTATTTTTCAAATCAGTACACAGAAGAAGAAGCTAGGAAATTAGGAGTGGTTGGCTGGGTTAAAAATACTCGTCAAGGAACTGTAACGGGCCAAGTTCAGGGCCCAGAAGATAAAGTAAATGCCATGTAAGTATTTTCATGTGTTTATAGTCTTACTAAAGCCATTTACAGAAACATTTTTAATCCAAAGTGACAGGTAGAATCATATGTCAATAATGTAACAGTACTTTAAATAATCAGTTTTGGTTTTGAGGAGATAGCTTTTAAGCTGTAGAAAAGTCTTTAAGCTTTAAAAATAGCATGTGGCATCAGCCAGTTTTAATTTCTAGTGTCACACAGTTTGTCAGTATATTTCCTGAATGTATTTTTTGCTTGTGAAATGAAGGAAAAGCCTTTATTCTTATGCGTGAGGACAGATGTGGGTTTTAATTCTTCAAAATATCTCTAAAAAATGGACCAAAGAACTTCTTGACATGCTTGTTAAGCCTGTGCTTAAGTCAATTTAAAGGAAACTGAGTTTAAGTATGATTTTTTTTCCTGATTTAAAAATATATTAATACATATTTCAGCAAAGACCTGTGGTCTCTACCATCTGGAAATAAATTTTGAAATATTTTGCTGTCTTTAAAAGAATGAATATGACTTTCTGTATTAAACTGCTGATTTCCAAATGCTTACAACTATCACTCAGGAAATGATGCCTGGAAAAACACAAAGCCCAACTGATTTGCTTCCAACTGTCATTTTTTGCAAGTGTGTATAGGGATATTGTTGGGAGTTTTTAAAAATCCTTCAGTGGTTTGTTCTCTCAACAAAAAATGAGTGATGGTGAAACTTTCCTTTAGGTTTTATTAGGCAATTATTAGTGCAAATTCTGCTAGCACTTGTTGATACAGGAATTGCTTCAAAACTGAACTTAGAAAAAGTGAAGTTGGCTTTTTGCAGAGAAAATAATGGTATGTTATCTGGTAAAGAGATTTATATATGATTATCTGATGTGACAGAAGTACTTGTAGTAATTTTCTTTGGTCTTGAACTTACTGAACATTAGGTTGCTTATCTTGGGCTGTAAAACATTTACAAAGCCAGAGAACTGTTAGTTGTTTGTTTTCTAGGTCAAGTTTATACTTATTTTCTGGAAGACCTTTGTTAATAGCCTGATCTAAATATTTTGTAAATTTAATATCTTGGTGTCATCTCTAGTTGATTTAGAACACCAAAAATGAATGTGTGAGAAATCAGGATTTGGTTTCCATTTTAGGTATTTTTTTAATTTAAAAATTTCTTGTCAGTTTTATTCTTGTTAAGCAGGTTAAGTGAAAGCACAGCTTAGGTCCTGATATTTCTTATTTTTGCATTAACTAGGATTGCTGCAGAATGCAGTGGTTTTTGTCCATCCTTTACCTTTCCTGTTATGTCTTGATGGGATTTAAAGGAATCTGCACTTACACAAGCTTCCTGGTGTTAGTGTGTAATATGGGATCTTGTATTAGAGCTGCAAAATTGGACTACAAGCCTAGACTTGTTCTCAGAGATGTTGACATACGAACTATTCCAAAAAGAAATAAATTTTTTTCATTGTTACACAATTTTAAGTAGGGTCAGCAAGCTGAATTGCCACCAAAAAAAGTTGAAGCTTTTGTTGTATGTCGTGTTTGATATTCAGAGCAAATAAAAGGCAGTTTTGAGTTGCTGCTTCTTCATTTCATGCTGGAAATCAATGTTTTCCTCTGATGTAGGACTAATGTTGCAATGTTGAAGTATGATTTTGAAGTATGCATTGAGATATGGCTTATTATTGGAGACCCTAGAGTGGAATGCTGAAGGAGAAATGGTTCACTTTTCCTTGCTCCTTGTGTGGGCTCTGATATATCGAAAAGGTGATAAGCTTATTTTTGGCATTAAATTGGTGAACTTGCACTTGACAAGGGAACAATTGTATATGAACAGCTACTTTGAAAGGCCCCTATTTCTCTCTGCTAGTACATGTTAATAGAAGATCAAAAGAGGTTTGAGTTTTGGAATTTTTTTCAGAACTTACAGCATTTTTTTGTAATGCTCAGTCATGCTTCCTAGGAATTCATAATACTGTGTTCTAGATTCAAGAGTTGTTTCAAATGCTATATTAAATAAAAACAAAGTGAGGCGCTCTTCTACCATAGCAAATTAATATGAACCAGTAATACTAGACATACATTTGTATTCAAACTATAATAAATAATCAGGAAGAAATTCTGACACCAACTTCCTATGCAAGCTCTGGTTTGTATTTGCTAGATATTGAGAACTTAAGAGACTGTATTTGTGTGATGCCTCTTAAAAATTTGGAGATCTCCATGTTCAAAGAAAAACAACACTCTTCAAAGAAATACAGTACATGAATCGATGTTGTAAGGTCTTTCAAGAAAGGTTCCCGGTGAGTGCTATTTCAAATATTGGATCAACGTGTTACTGTGTAGAAATCTTTCAAGAGTAGCTTGTGTCGTGTCTTTTGGACAAGTGTTTTCACACTTGCATAAGCTTCTAAATTAAACTTTAGGCACAAAATAGTCTCATTTTCAGAGGTGCAGCACTTGAACTTTTAAAAACCATGTAATAATGGTAATAAAATGACTTCTCAGTTTTACTGATTCTGACTTGGTAGTTTTTCTGGGGAAAGGGGTGTTTTGGTGTATTATAAACAACATTTATCTTTTCATGATGCTAAAAAGAATCAAGGCCATGGATTTAAAAAGAGTGAGGATGCCATAAGAAAGTGTAGTTCTAGAAAAGGTAAATAGGAAAAGCAATATGGGAGGCAGGAATGAGGGATAAGAGTTTGAAGAAGACAAAGATAGAGGAAGCGTAAAAAAAGAAAAAGCGGGAGAAACACCATGAGGCAATTCAATGTTACCAGAAGCATGGAGTGAATAACAAAGCATGCCTTTGTTCTGGAGCAGTAATGCGGCAAACCTCTAAGGCAACTGTTTTCCAGCAGCAGTTCGTTGCTCCTGATTTTTCTGACCCTTTTTATTCTGCTTTGTATTGCTACTTGTATTGTGAGGCACAGCTAGGAAGTGTCCAGTACAGACTCAAGAAACAATGCCTTTATGTGATTTTTTTTTTAATGCAGACTGCAAGGCAAAAGATAATCTGGAAGGAATTGAGAGCAGTCCTGGTGATCCATTTTAAGCATTATTGTAATGCATGTGTAGAGTGACCGGAACCAATATAAAGTGGAGAAAATAAGATTTAGAGCAGGAGAGTTGAAGGTATGACTATCCATCCATACTTAAAGTTCTCTAGTGGAGTATGTTAGAGAAGATCTATTCTGAAGATCAGTTGGCCATGTAACTGCTGTTTTTAGGAGAGTCTTGGGTAGTCGAGCACAACTTTATTCTGTTAGAACTGAGGGGTTAGGTGCCAGAAGGCAGCCAGAGGCTATGTATCTATCTACTGATGCAGATGTGGCGCGGAAGAGTGTTTGCTAATGCAGGCAGTGGGCTGTGGGTTTGGTTCCTTCCCATCCTGCCAGGGAAAAGAGCTGGCCTCTTGCCTGAGCCTGGTATAGTTTCTTAAGCAGTGTGCTGAAGTCTGGATTTTGTCCTAAGATAGGGAAGTAATTTGTTCCCTGTGGACATAAAATATGATTATGATTAATTACTTTGAAAGATGACATGCAAAATAGTTTGCTCTGGAGCATGTAACAACTTAGCAGGGGCATTCTGACTCTTGCAGAAATCCGTGGAAAATGATAGGCAAGTATGAAGAATTGGGGCCTGAAAAGTGTTGCATGTACAAGAAGTTGTATTCCTTATTGGATCATTCACTTAGTGCTGAACATGGGTGTAAATTTTGTTGAAGTGGTGCTGGGAGGCTGACTTTGATTTATGTTCTGTAGTGGTGAAATGTTGATCATGCTGAGAATTGGCAGAATTTAGTGACTTTTCTGATGCTAGGATTTTGGTGTGAATTTCACTGAAATGCAAGTTTAAGGTATGAATGAGCAGGTTTTGATTTTAGATATTTTCATGTCAAGATTTGTCTTCAGTTTGTTTTTAATGAAAAACTTTTAGATTCTCAAAGATCAGGTGACTTTTACATAATGTATTTCGAAGGCAGTTGTTTTTACTTTAATTGGGAGATCTTGTAGACCATTTTAGAGGGTGTTTCTAAAGTCTTGAGAGCTTTGACCTGTGAGCTTACCTTAGCATCCCTTGCTTTTAACCTCTAGATGGAGCTGTCTGTTCTGTAGAGACTCTCAACTCTACATGCTGCATTTGAAGGGGATCTATTTTTAGACTGTTGTGGTAGAATCCATCTTTTTCTTCTCTACCTTTTTCCATACTGTATTTTATCATCCTGTTCTGTTTGCTGCTACTGCTCCGCATAGATAACACCCGTTATCCTTAGATACTAAAAGCTCATTTTCAGTCTTTTACCTGTCTGTAAGCCAAAGAATACTGAAGTCACAAGAAAAGCAGAGTTGCAGCATTTCTAAAACATAATGACATAAGGCTTTTATGGTAAACTGAAGGCTTTTTTGCCAGCCCAGATATTGTTAAATGAGGTAGAGGAGGTAGTCCTTTGGCTTCTTTTTTTCAGGAAGACTTATAATACAGGGTTTTTATTATAGTATCTTGTGATATTTTTTTTTCCATTTTATTAAATAAGGTTAGAGCCTTTGTAGTCATTGTGCCTGTTGCCATAGCAACTTGCATTGACAGGCTAGAAATCACTTTCCTATGAGAATTTTTTGAACTTTGAATGATGATATATTAACTATCCATTAAAAAAGAAAGACAAGACTCTTGTAGATGGCCAAACTCAGAATTTGTTCCGAAAATCAAAGGTTTCAAAGCAGGCTCACAGTTTAAAATATAAAATCTTAGGACATTTTTTAGACACAAGCAGTATATAAGAGCATGGTAAGTATCTTTCCTGTATTTGTAGAAAGGCATGACATTACATATAGATTGCTTGTCTTGGAAGTTGTTTTTAATTGTAAATTAATGCTAATTTAATGTGAATATTTTAATTTTTAATATCAATGTCAGTTAAGACTTAAATACATGTGACACAAGACTGGAAAATTACTTCAGTGTATATCTGCATAGAAAAATCTAGATTTTTACCACATAAAAGGG